GGCCACACAGCAGGAGGCTGGGCTGAGGAAGAGGCTTGGAGCCCACCAGAGGGCAGGGGAGGCTCCAGGCCTGGGGGAGGCACGGGAGGCCGCTGAGCCCACCCATGTGACCCAGAGGAGCCGCGCTGACTCGGCAGCCTCTCAGGGAGACCCCCACATTCCCTGACGTTGGTTTCCTGGCGCCTGACGGCAGGGTGGCCCCCACAGAGAGGCACACACGCACCCAGATGCAAGTCACGGCCAGTGTCTGACAAGCACCAATACCCTGAAAGAGACGAGGTCACTGCTGTGGTGTGGGCATTTGTCTCTTGAAACGCGTGCTGCAACTCACTTGCTCACGCAGCCTAATTAAGAGGTGGCATCTGCAGAAGGTGACCTGACCATGAAGGCTTTGTCCTCACTAACAGCTTAATGCTGTCACCAAGGGACAGGTTCACGATTCCAGAAGGGAGTTCACTGTGAAAGGGTGAATACGCCTTGGCCCCACCACCACGTGGGCGTACAGGAAGACGGCCCGTGCCAGCCTCCAGAACTGCAAGCCAGTCCATTTCTGCCCACGATAAATTACTCCATCTTGGGTGTTTTGTTACAGCAGCACAACACAACTGAGTCACCCCACAGAGAGCCTCACCCTCACCAGGACTCAGGGTGACTGAATGACCCACAGAATCTAAGTGGCGTAGGCCACGCACAGTGGTCCACGCCTGCAATCCCAAGGGAGGCCGAGGCAGGCAGGTCCCTCGAGGCCAGGAGGTTGAGACCAGCCTGGACAATACAGCAAGACCCCATCTCTATAAAAAATAAATAATGTTTAACAAGACATAAAACTAGAAATGACAGCCAGACAGGAGGACTAAGTTTAGTGGTCTGCAGCACTGCGAGGCGATGAGAGTCAACACTAGAGTTTCAAACAGCCAGGATACCGAAGGTCCCAACACTTAGAAACGGTAAATGAGATGATGGCTGTGCTGATTACCAGGAGCCGGACGCTTCCAAACGTCGCCGTGCCCTGCACACGTGCACAATTATTCTATCTCAATTAGAGCACAGCAGTGAGAGGCCTGGAGTGAAAAGAAACTGGGCGGCCGGGCGCAGTGGTTCACGCCTGTAATCCCAGCACTTTGGGAGGCCAAGGCGGGCGGATCACCTGAGGTCAGGAGTTTGAGACCAGCCTGGCCAACATGGTGAAACTCCGTCTCTACTAAAAATACAAAATTACCCGGGCGTGGTGGTGGCGCCCGTAATCTCAGCTACTCGGGAGGCTGAGGCAGGAGAATCACTTGAACCCAGGAGGCGGAGGCTGCAGTGAGCCGAGATCACGCCACTGCACTCCAGCCTGGGCAACAAGAGCAAAACTCCATCTCAAAAAAAAAAAAGAAAAAAGAAATGGTGACACTTAAATACTCTCATCCATCCAGCCCTGCCCTCAGAGAGCCTCTGTCGCGAGGTGCCCCACCACATGGGGACCCCACATGAACCCCTGTAACCCAGCAGCAGGGCTGTGCTAACATGCCCGGCCCTGAAGACAGAGGTCTCAGCAGAGGTGCTGAGGAAGGTGGAGAACACGTAAGGAAGGCTACAGGCGGCAGAGCCCTGGAGGCGCCGGAGCTGGCGAGGGAGCGGCCATTAGCCCTGCAGCACCGTGGTGGGCTGACCACAAGAGAGGGGTGGAGAAGGAACGCGCACGCGAGCTGGGCAGATGCTCCTAATGAGGCCCCCACGTGCTCTCTTGGGAAGGCACTGAGCTCTGTTAATCTAAACAAGCTGAACAAGGCAGAAGGCTCCATCCCGAAAGCTCTGCAAACTCGGGTCTGCACTGAGGACCACACGGTGCCAGAAAGGACCATCCTGGACAAGGAGCGTGATGTATGAGCACCTTGGGCCCACGTGAGCTGCGTGGACATAGGCATGGCCCAGGGAGTCATGGCTTAGGACGTGGCGCCTGGAGACGACCCTGCCCCTGAGCACACACACAGGCGCAGCTGTCTTCACCAGCCCCTGCCCCTCACCGGCTGAACTCTATCTAGACAGGCTGGCTCTGTGTTCCGTGAGAGCTCTGAGCACAAGGAGCTCTTGCCACGCCTGACAACCCCAGGGACTTTAATTTGTACGCATCACCTTAACAAGCCCAGGAGGACTCAGGAATTTCCATGAAATGGAACCCGAAGTAGCTGAGAAGATGGGAGGGGGTGGTCCGTGGAATAAAACAAACATGGAATCAAGCAGATGGGCAGAGATCAAAGGAAGAGGGGCTCTGCCAACGCTGCCACACACTCTGGATTCAACACCGTCCCAATCCAGACGCCAGCAGGCTTGGTGTCGAATTCTACAGTTCACATGGAAATGCCAAGGACCTAGAATGGCTGAAGCGATTTTTAAAAAGAACAAAGTTGGAGGAGCAACACCTGAGTGGGAGACTTGATGAGGCTGCAGGAGTCGGACGGGGGCCCTGCCACACAGACTGACTGCAGGAAGTGCGCCTGGAAACAGCCCCCACGTG